TATGCCTATTTTAATCTATCTCTGCCTGGAGCAATAAAAGAAACATATCAAGTTCTATTTATGAGACTAGAATCTGGGCCAAGTTTAGAATTGAGAAGCTAGAAAATATGAAGGAGGATGCTAACAAATCAACTGCAGCATTTCATGAAGATTGTGAATTCTCAAATACAGAGTAAGTAAAAGCAAGAGCAAGAGCATGATTAAAATTTTATGTTTACCAGTCCATTCCCAAGTTTTAACTCCAGAAGTGTTTAATACTTAATTAATGCCTATTAAATTTAATATTGGGCATGCAGGCCTACACAGAACACTGCTCGGCAATGTAGGATTTGAAGTTCTCACAGCAGTGAGTATGAAGATGGCTATCTTCTTGGTTGTAGTGCCATGTAGTCTGGTAGAAGTTTACTCACTTATCACCTGATGACAGAGACAGCAATGACCTTTGAAATGTTGGTAAACCTCTACCAAACCAAACAGTGTTACAACCCAGAAGACAGACTCCACTGTTGGGCAATTTAATGCAGTGTAACCATTCGATACAAAGTATAATGTACATGAGGATAAACTTCACAAATTTTAATAATATAAATGCTCAGTGCACAAAATGTTGGTAAATTATATAAAATGTCATTAATATAGATAATTCACAATCTAAGATAATTATCAACATCACTGACACCACATAATTTCATTTGAAACATTTTCAGATATGGATATATTTAACAAAATAAGATTGAAAAAACAAGTGATTCTCTACAACAGACCAACTGCTGTATGTAAGCAATGTTAGCACTTATTTCGGACACAAGAATGTAGCAGAGGGTAAGGAGTTTAAAGAAGATAAATGTAAATACCATTATCATGTTTCAATTACAAGACCCTTTCCACAGTGCTCTGGGCCTGAAAGTTTAATAAAATACAAGGAAAAATAATATAACCAATTATTCTTGTTTAGAAATGACAAGAGACTTAAAGTTATAATAATTCAGTGCCCATTTCTGCAAT